CGAATTTGCATCATGAGGATCAAAATTAAAAATTCCTCCTATTGAATATCTGAAACTGCAGACTTTTATATTTGAGGAAAACATAATTTATGTCATATTCTATTTTAAAGAGAGGCTAAAATTGGAGGATTTGGTTGTAAACTTTTGTAAACTTAATATCCAAGAATTATAATAAAGTTGTGGACATAAATTACATTATTTTTGGTAATTTAACAACTTATTTCAGCTGATCCCCCCCCCACAGTGTAATAACAACATGTACAACATCAAGCATATAGACAGAGCTGCAGCTAGGGATTATTTTAGTAATCAATTATTTTGATGATTAATCGATTAATCACATAAAAAAGTTTGCTACATTCTGCTTAACCACTTACATCTTGTGAACACTTGATCATTTGTTGCATCTGCAGCTGAAAATACTTTAAACATCAACATGTGAAAATCTCGGGCCTTTCTGCTGGTCTGTTGGTCATTTCTGGATTAATTGAACAATAATTGGATGGCAAAATGTGATATTTTGTTTTGCAGAATTTGATCCAGGTGAAACTAAAACTATCACTCCAAGAGCTCTGGGTTACAAAGATGTTATTTTTATTTTAAATGTAAATGTTTTGCACAGCTTTGCCTTATTTACTGATCTGAATGTTTCATTCTTTCAGAAAATTAGCTTTTTTTTTTGAGTCTCCATACTTCAATTCACGATTAATCGGTTACTAAATTAACTCATGGTGGTTTTTATAATTGATTAATCCCAAGTAATCTGATTGGAGTTCCTCCCCGCTTGTTTTGTTGTCCTTTCATTCTTCCAGTTTATCTGTTCTGATATCTGAAATGCGTTTCTAGAAGTTTAGCATTAGTTTTGATCAAATTTAATCAGAAACTGACATTTGGAGAAACAATTTTACAAGTGGTTGCAAGTACTTGTCAATTAGTTTTACAAAAAATATTTTTTAGGTAAAACCAGTGTAGTATTGACATCTTTGGGATGAAGGAAATTATGTTGAGGTCGTTAGTGACTCCAGTTAGCTGCTCGTTTCCCCTCGCCTCATTTCTGCAGGCTTTGAAAATCATCTTGAAATGTGTTTGGGGATTTGGCTTTTATTGCAAATTTCAATCATCGTTATGAGTTAAAGAGCTGCTGGGGTTTCGGAGCCGGCTGATATTTTATCACAGGAAAATGAAAACTCTGCCTTCTGATCCCTAAACTGCATGACTCGGTTTCCTGAGGATGTTGGGAAGAAGATCACGAAATGGGGCATGGAAATAAACGACCCAGAAGAGACCGCTTCGTTTCGGGTGAAGGTCAATCTCACGGAGTTTAAAGAAAACTGGATGCAGGGATTTCTCTTCATTTGATATTAAGAGTTAAGAAAAGAGGAAGATTATTTAATCAACTTTCATCACTTATTTTAATCTTAAAATGAAAAGTTACTGAAGGAGAATGTGGAAAAACAAAATGCAGTGTCCACAAGAGCAAAGACTCGAAAAAAGTGAACTAGTGAGCCTCAGTTCGGTTGAATGCATGTGAACGCCAAGCGGTCAGCAGCAGGAAGTGAACTACACCGTGGGGCATTCTGGGTAAAAACAACCAAAACAAACATACTAGTCCAGTGCTAGAGGGAGAAATGGATCGTAGTCTTTTACCAAAGACAAAAGAGAAATCGTAAAACTGCTCAAATCTGATGTTTACATTTTGTGAAGGAGGTTGCGCTCAGTGTCGTCTTCAGTGGTTTTGTGTTGCTTCCTTCAATAGTTCTTGATGCAGCGCCCCCACAGGCGAGGATGGGAACAGGTTTCGTAAAGGGTTTGGTTTGTTTGACACTGTTTGATGCCATATTTTGATATAATTGGATGAAAAAGCCCTGACTGGTGGTGATACGCAGTTAGTTGCAAGCACAGACACAGAGCTACAGGACACATATTGTTCTTTGTTCACAAAGATATATGCGCTCACATCAGTCTCAGAAGGTGTGACATCTGTGCTAGCCAGCACTCCGTCACAACGTAAATGACACAAAACGTTTCCAGCGGTTTTTGGTTGTTTTTTCCTAACTTGTCCCTTTATTTGATGAAGTTATTCGTGTGCTGAAAGGTAAAATACCTGAAGTGAAGTTTTACTGTTGTATCAGGAATGGATTATTTGACAAAGTAATAAAAATAGTGCTGAGGGTGGTAATATTTTACTGTAAATGTGGCAAGGTCAATACAAATATTTTTCAGATGTGAGGGGGACACGTCCCCCTTCACTCATAATTATTGCTACATCCCTGGATACGAAACATTAACGGCCTTCATCTGCAAACATGGCTGCCTCACTGGGACGAGTCGTTGCGCTGAAAGTTTTTACTCCGACTTAAAGCAGGAAGTAGACTACATCACAGGGCATTCTGGGTAAATGCAACCAAAGCAAACAACTTAAAAACTTTCTTCACATCGTTAAGAACCTTTGATATTGATCTAATATTGGAAATCGATAACTGCCAATGAATTTGTTCACATCTGGCTGATCCTGCTGTGACAAGAAGGCAGTTTAGTGGGTCGACAGAGAGAGAAAGAGAGAGAGTCAGCAGGTACTGAGAAATTGTTCAACCGCGTTGCCATGGCAACAGTGAGCATGTAGATGAGTTTTTCTTTTTTTCTTAACACACACACACACACACACACACACACACACGGTGACAGAGAGGTTAGCACAGGATTCCCTGCTAATCCAGTTTCTATGACAACTCACAACTCTCGCCTCGCCTCTCCGTCTGCCTCGCTTTCATCCCCGGCTGTGATGGAGCCCGACACAAACTTCTGACTCCGTCGGCATCGGCGCCGCGCAAGCTAGCAATTACCAGCAGTGGAGATTAATAGAAAACGATAATTAAAAGACGGGACGATGTTTTCGTTGGAGCATCATCGACTGCAGCGGCTCCAGACTCTGCCGTCAATAGAAACCTGCAGCAAATTAGCTTTTATTAGCAAATTACAACGTAGCTGAAGGGTAGCTCCAACTTCTGCATCAGTCTGAGTTCCTTACTCAGCATTTATTTCATTCGGATCATCTGAAAGCTATGGAGTGCTGTTTGCACTGTAAAAAAATTAACAGCAATAATTTTGCAGTTATTCAGGCTGTTACATGATTTTAAAACAATGGGAGCTCATTTACGAACATCAGCATTTTTTAAATCATGTTATTATACTTATGTCACAGTTTCAAACTAAATTTTAATTAGCAAGCAAAATATTTAGCTAATAAGTTAAATACTTTGTGTAGAGGCGAATGATTTAGCTAGTGAAAATTTAGTTTTCAAACTAAATATTTAGCTAGTTTGGAAGCTAATTATGTAGCTGGAAGGCTAAATGTGTATTTTTGAAGCTAAATATTTAGTTAGCAAGTTGAATATTTAGCTTGCAAGCTAATGATGCAGCTAAATATTTAGTCTGAAGTTAAATATTTAATTAGCAAGTTGAATATTTAGCACTAAATATTTAGTTTAGGGATAGATTTAGTTAGGAAGCTAAATAGTTTTCAAACTAAATATATTTGTTATATATATTTAGTTTTGAGTAAAAATTTAACTATCAGCTGAACATTTGGAAGCAAATTATTTAGTTTTTAAAACATTTCATTTTCAAGCTAAATATTTAGTTTGGAAGAAAATGACTTGGCTATCAGACTAAATATTTAGTTCTCAAACTAAATATTTAGATAAAAAAAAAAGTCCTATTTTTAGTTTTGAAGCAAATTTTTGATGGCAAACTATCAAAAACTGTTTAGTAGATCTTTTTTTTTTTTTTTTTACAGAAATTGAAACAGGCGAAGCTAAAACTGACACTTTAATATTTCTGGGTATTAACAAAGATTTGTTTTCATCTTATATGTAAAATTTTAATATTTTAGGTTACTTTTACTGCTCTCAGTGTGTTCTGTCAGGAAATTGGATTTTTTAGTCAGTATCTTCCAGTTATCGATTAATCATTTAATCCGATCAGTTGTTTCTGCCCTAGTCATGTTATTTAAACTCGTATAAACGGAAACGTTTCTGGTTGGTTTAAGCAACGCCACTCGTCTGTGTTGAGTGTGAAAAACAGGAAGTGATGCGACGTCCGGAGGTCAGACTGGAGGTTTCCTGCCGCCTTGGACCAGATGAGGTGTAAATTATCTGTGGGAGGATTTCAGACTCATGTCTGTCTCCACAGACTGAATATAAAACTATTTTATCATGACTCATCATTAATTTATGTTGGAATCAGAACGGCTTCACAGCAGGGATTCTTTTAACCTTCTTGATGAAATAAATAAAACATTTTAATATTAGGCCAGTTATTTTTAAATTAATGAAATTTCACAATTTGGTAGACTACTAAAAATATTTTGTATTTATAATTTGAGATGATTGGATTTTTTTTTAAATCTCAAAGTCAGAAGTAAACAAATGGAAAGTTGTATTTCTGTTTCATGGAACAAAGTAAATCAGCTGTCACTTTTTAAAAAACTAAATATATATTGAGTCAGATCACTTTATCATTTCTAATAGATATATTTGTATTTATTATTGTATTTACATTTACAAACTGCCTGATTTGTGTTTAAACATGTAGAAGGATGTCTGAGTGTTTAGTTATGGTTTAGTCAGAGTTGGGCAGTAATTAGTTACATTTACTTGAGTAACTTTTTGGAGAAATTGTATTTTCAGGATATTTGTACTACACGACTTTCTACTTGAGTAAAATGTCTAGATTTTCTACCCACTGAATGAAAAACGAACATATTTTAACCAGAAATTCAGCAAACACAGACACACATTTGCAGTTTTTGTTGTTTTATATTGAAATAAAAACTTATTTGGAAAAATTTTTATTTCACCTGATTTTGTTATTTTGTATTTATGGTATTTATTCATTTTTTTATTCAGTTTGGTCTTTAAAATACCTTTTCATAAATTTTTTTGTCAATGTGTGACATGTTCATTTCAAACTGTAAATAAAGTTTTTCCTCCGACCTCCAGCCACATGCCTCTGAGTCCGACCGCTGACACCAAACATGATCGCCCGCGGCAACAGGCGGTTACTAACGGCAACCCAACAGGCTCTGCTGTCGCCAGGGACGACGACGGGGAGGACCCGCCCTCTGGAAACAGCATCGTGGTCCGAATCGGGATCCCGGACCTGCAGCAGACGGTAACGCGCGCACAGGGCGCCAGCGCGGACCGAAGCGTGGATCATGAAACACAACACAAACCTGTCTGTGTGTCCGTCCTGTCTCTTTCTCTGTCCGTCCCCCCCTGTCTGTCTGTTTCTCTGGCTCCGGCTCTCTCAGAAGTGTTTGCGGTTGGACCCAGAGTTACCAGTTTGGACCAGTAAGCAGAGGGTTCTGGTGACGTTGACACAGTCTCTGTCGGATGTTTTGAACTATGGTCTCTTCCAGCCGGCGTTCAACGGCCGAGCCGGAAAGTTTCTGGACGAGGAGCGCCTGCTGAAGGAGTATCCTCTGCCCAACATCACTCCCATCCCGTATCTGGAGGTAAACCAGACTCACCATCACCAGCTTTTCCCTTAAATATAAAATTTAATTAAAGTCACATGTGAAGAAACTTGTTCATCAATAAGTCACTGAAATAAAGGCAGCGACAGATGGAAATATAATTCAGCTAATCAGAATTTAAATGAAGACTTAAACCATCGGTTGCTGATAACAAGCAGATAACCTGATTAAATAAATCCAGGTTTATTGTATTTTGACCAAATGAGTGAAAGTTTAAGGAGTGTAAGAAATTTCTGGGGTCAAACGTCTGCTTGAAAGCAGCGTTGCGATTGTTCTCAGATTTAAAATGTCAGAAATTTTTCATCAGACAGTTCAGTGAATCTCTGGGGAAAGAACTCAGTTCAGTTCCCTGGTTCTGCTGCTTAACGAGGATCCGTTAATTATCTCTGGTTTCATGATCCGCTCTCTTTCTGCTTCAGTTTCGCTATAAGAGACGAGTTTACACTCAGAGCTACGTTGATGACAAACAGCTGGCAAAGCTTCACACTAAGGTAGCAACCGGCTCGGACAGTGACTTCTGGCTGCGTTTGTTGCCATGGTGACTGTTCAAACCGAATGTTTTTGTGTTTCAGGCCAATCTGAAGCGATTCATGGAACATGTTCACCAGAAGAATGCAGAGAAAGTGGCCAAATGGTTGGAGAAAGGCCTGGACCCGAACTTCCACGACTCGGACAGCGGAGGTGAGCCGGACTGTCTGTCCACCGCCTCGTTATAAATAAAGCTTTAAATAGAACGGAAATCTTTCCACTTGGTTTTAGTTGATTAACATTTTAATTGAATGTTTCTTAATTTTTCATTCTGATTCATATGTATATGCAAATATGAAAAAAGTAGTTTCCATACAGTTTTTGTTTTTGATTTTATGATTTTATTTTGATTATTCAACAGAAACAAAATCTAGAAGTTTGTTAGAAAACATCATAGATTCTCCGGATTCTCAGCTTTTTTCTGTCCGATCTATGTCGGTGTTGGGTCGACCCGGTTCTGATTGCTAACAGACTCTCTCCCTGCTCCGCCAGAGTGCCCTTTGACCCTGGCTGTCCAGCTGGAGGACAGCTGTGAGCTCATCAAGGTTCTGCGCAGCGGCGGGGCCCACCTGGACTTCAGAACCAGAGATGGCATCACGGCTCTGCACCGGGCCGTTCTGTGCAGGAACAGCGCCGCCCTGACGGTGAGTCCACCTGCCCGGTCCCGACCCGACCCGACCTCTGACCCCATGCTTTGATTCCACAGACGCTGCTGGACCTCGGCGCGTCGCCGGACTACAAGGACAGCAGAGGCCTAACGCCGCTCTACCACTCTGCCATGGTGGGCGGCGCCCCCTACTGCTGTGAGCTGCTGCTGCAGGACCACGCCACCATTGGTGAGTGACTGTGTGTGTGTGTGTGTGTGTGTGTGTGTGTGTGTGTGTGTGTATGAGGGAATGACCTCTGTGCTGCTTAAACACCATCAGTGATGATTTATCTGTGAAAAAACAAAAAGCACTTTGTCGCTGAAAGAGTTCTCGTTGCCATGGTTACAGGGATCACTGATGAGAACGGGTGGCAGGAAATCCACCAGGTGACACACACACACACACACACTCACTCTCTCTCTCATTGCTCCACTGATGACTCGTTCTGTTCAGTTCTGATTCCCTGTGTGTGGGCGTGTTTTTTTTTTTTTTTTTGGTGTTCAGGCGTGTCGCTATGGCAACGTGCAGCACTTGGAGCACCTGCTGTTCTACGGCGCCGACATGAGTTCCCAGAATGCCTCAGGAAACACGGCGCTGCACCTGTGTGCCTTGTACAACCAGGTAGCGCACACACACACACACACACACACACGCGCGTGCACACACAGGTGTGTGTGTGAGCCGGTCACATGGCCGTGTTGACATGTCTGGTATCGGTTCTGCAGGACAGCTGCGCCCGGGTTCTGCTGTTCAGAGGAGCCAACAAGGACATAAAGAACTACAACAACCAGACAGCCTTTCAGGTGAAAACAAGACAGAAAATACACATTTATATGTGTTTAGGTCATTCTTACTGAAAAACATACATAAATCACTTTTATTGGAAAATGAATATATATTTTTCACTTTTATTGAATTTTTCTCTTTTTCAATAAAAGTGACACAAATCTTCCTTTTGCTCAGAATTTACAAAAAAACAACCTGTTTTTAATGAAGACATTTAAATATGTCATAACATTGAAATTTAATAAAAACCTGTGGATCTGAGGAAACCGAGCCAGGCAGATAAAATAAATATAGAAGGAAACTGCTAAAATAATGCCTGGTTAATGATGATCAATTTTAGAATAGATTTATTTGTAATAAACGTGTAATCTCTTCACTGACTGTTAATCATCGGTTTGTGTTCAGGTGGCGATCATCGCTGGGAACTTTGATTTGGCTGAAATCATCAAGATCCACAAAACTTCTGATGTTGGTGAGTTTAAACAATTCAGTCAGGCTGGAAAAAACACCCAGATTAATTATCGCTTAAAGAAACTTCCTGGTTTAATTTCACATTTCCAACAGCTCCGCAGAACTAAATGGCAACAAAACGTTTAAAAGTTTTTATCAGATTCTGGGCTTTAAAAGATTAACAGAGTTTTTAATTGGTCCTTTTTGTGGTTGTGAAACAGAATCTAATTCAATATGGCGGCATGTTAGGGACATGCTAGGTAGAAATAAACAAAATAAGAAGAATATGTTTCTGTCAAAAACTGAAATTTTGAGGATTTTATAGCAAAACCAAGTAAATTTCTGAGTTTGAAAAGTTTAACATTTGCTAGAAAAAATTGTTTTTTCTAGAAAAAATTATTTTTTCTAGCAAATTTTTGACTTCAAACTCAGAAATTTCTTAGTTTTTTTCTAAAACATTTCTAATTCTCAAAGATTTTTGGCATAAATTTACTCCTTTTTATTATTATTTTTTTTTTATGAATACACCTAGTGGCCCTAATGCTGTTTTAATATCATGAAGGCTTTTCAGCTGCTTTCCACTTGGTTTCATTTGAGAACCCGAACATTTTAAATGAATATTTCTTAATTCTTCACTCTGGTAAATACAAACAATAAGCAATATAAAATTGTTAAAAAATATAAACTTAACTGTGATATTGTAAGAAATTTGAATATGAAATATAATTACTTTAAAATCTAAAATGAACCGTCTGTGGCGTTTGTCCTGCTGGCGCCGCTGCTGAGGTGAACTCTGTGTGTCTTCATGTGTCCAAGTAGTTCCCTTCAGAGAAACCCCGTCCTATACCAAGCGCCGCCGGGTCGGCGCCACCAGAACCCCGGCCGGGAACGGCCTGTCGTCTCCTCGCTCTCTGATTCGCTCGGCCAGCGACAACGCCCTGGAAAGCCCCGCCTCCTCGCCCGGCCCCTCCCTCCAGAGCCTGGAGACGCATCACGACTCGCACACTCACTCCCTGAGACGCCACCCGCGCCGCCTCAGGTACGCCCCGCTGCACCCGCACCGTGCTGCGGTCCGACCAGCGCCTCTTACCGGTGTGTCGCCCCGCAGCCCCGGTGGGGGGGGCCACACGGAGACCAGCCCGCCCTCCTCGCCCCCCCACACGCCGCAGATGAGGAAGAGGAGGCTCTACAGTGCCGTGCCGGGGCGCACCTTCATCGCCACACGGTCCCACGTCCCCCAGGGGCCCGGAGAGATCCAGCTGCACCGGGGCGAGCGGGTCAAAGGTCAGTGGGAGATAAAGTGCTCAACTCCTAGTACTTTAGTACAAAACACTTCCAGGAACTTTGTAGCTGACGGCCATCTTGGTAGGAACTGTAACCGACTGTCATGGCAACAGTAAACGATCTCAAAACAACAGTTTTATCATTGATCATTGATAACTTCTGGGACAATTTACCTCCAGTATAATCTGTTTTTGTGACCAGTTTTAGTACTCCACCCACCTCTGTGTGATGCTATATAAATATCAGTGATAATTGCTGAGGCAGCTACTGCCAAACTAGCAGAATTAGCTTAGCTAATGTAGCTTTTACCTGCCAGCTAAAACGGACATGTAGCCAACGTGTTTGATACTCCATGTTCTCACGCTGGGAGTCACCAAAGCCTCATTATTCACCTGAAGAGTTCCTACGTCCTTTATAATCCGGTTAAACTCTGATTGGATGCATCCATGGTGCAGCACTCTTCCTGTTCTCCAAGTAGTGAACGTTAATCAGCTTGTCCACATCATCTCACGTTTCTCCATCTCATTCGGGTCGATCCTGACAGCAGCCATTTTGTTTTTCTACATTTCCTTTTTGTTGGGCTGGAAGCCATGATGGCTCAGTGGTGCACAGCAATCCCTGTTCAGAACTTTGGGAACTATTTATCGATATTCATTGTCTAATGTTATTTACCACAAATACATTTTACTGAGTCAAAACTTTACTTTAGTTAAAGTACTTTAAGTATTCAAAAGTACAAATTACACTCTGAGTGTTAATACAGAACTTTGTAACTTGCTGAAACTGCCTGACATGTAGAAAAACTCTGGTACAAAAGCTCTGCGCTTTGTCTTTGAATTGTAGCGCAGTGAAAGTCATAAGTTTCCAGCAAGTAAATACTAAAGTAAAGTTACTCAGTTACTGTCTGGACCGGTTCTGACCCAGTTTGTGTCTGCAGTGCTGTCGATCGGCGAAGGAGGCTTCTGGGAGGGAACGGTGAAGGGCAGAACCGGCTGGTTTCCTGCCGACTGCGTCGAGGAAGTCCAGATGAGACAATACGACCCGCGACTGGGTAACGACCTGATGACCCCTGACGGTCCCCATCCCCTTCCCAGCAGCCTCCAACATGTGATGTCTATGTTTCAGAGACGAGAGAGGACCGAACGAAGCGGCTGTTCAGACACTACACCGTGGGCTCCTACGACAACTACACCTCCTACAGGTGAGACTCAGGAACTGCACTATTACCTATAAATGTTGACAAGTTAGTCTTTTCCAACTCAGACCTAGCACACATTAGACCTGCTTTGAGTCATTGTGCTTCTGTGGAGTATTTCTGAGCAGTCAGTGTGTTCACTGATTTCCATCTTAGTGATGATTATTGTTCTGGTCAGAACGTAAAGTTCAAACCAACTTTAGTCTTAACGGTTTCTGATCGTTAGCATCAATCCCTCCAACAGGGAAGATGCTGCCTGTGCTTAAATACTCCACATAACCATATTATCCCCTTGAAATTAAAATGGAAGAACAAATTGTAAAGTGACCTTTGAAGTTGAGGCAGTCATTTATTTACAGGACAGTAATCTGGATTACCAAATAATCTCTGTTTTCTCCAATCTGCATCTGGTTCCAGCGACTACGTGATCGAGGAGAAGACGGCGGTGCTGCAGAAGAGAGAAAGCGAAGGATTCGGCTTCGTCCTGCGAGGAGCTAAAGGTAGAAATGGAGGAGTGGTGGGTGGTTGGATGAAGAAACCAACAAAGATATTTTAATCTGAAACCTAGAGAGGAAAACTCCTCGCTGTGTTGTTGCATAACAGCCACAGAGCTGTTATCACATGGCAGCACTGGTTTCCAGTCACTGCTGGGAAGCTGTTGATTAGCTGATAAACTCCTCTACAGTAGTTACTGAAGTTACTAAAACAGCAACAGGAAGAATATGTTCTTTTACATTCAGTCATTTCCAGATCGTCACTAAATCAAACTTCCTGGTTTTTGCTGGTTGAACTGCAGTTTCAGAGTTTGTGTACCAGCATGGAGAAGAGCTATGGGGGAATTATTCTGCCATAAGTTGAGAGAGCAAACAGGATATCATGTCTTTCTTAAAACTTCTCCTTGCGCTTACACTTAGTCTCTGCTCGCTTACGAAACATGGAACCATGTTTTAGCACAGTCGCCTGGCAACCTCTCAGCCAATAGAATGAAAGAGTTGTACTGGGTGCGTCTGTGTGGCTATTATCCATAGTAGCAACCTGCGCCACCCACTGGATGTAGGGAGAAACAACGTCAGCTTTCTGATCCGATGTCGAGTGTAACATGGAGCAGAACGCTGATGTCGTTTCTCCCTCTATCCAGTGGGTGGCGCTGGTTGCTACTATGGATAATAGCCACACAGGCACACCCACTAGAAGGAAACAAACGCACCCAGTACAACTCTTTCATTCTATTGGTTGAGAGGTTGCCAGGCGACTGTGCCAAAAGGCGTTTCCAAAAGCAAGCAGAGACTACGTGTGAGCGCGAAGAGAAATTTTCAGACAAAATATGTGCGCTCTCGGATTATGGCAGAAAAATTCCTCCATAAAACTGCAGCTTAAACAGCAAAAACCAGGAAGTACATTTTATATTTACCCAGAATGCCCTGCGCTGTAGATTTTACTGACCTTTGACCTTTATCCAGCTGAGACGCCCATTGAGGAGTTTGCGCCCACGCCAGCGTTTCCTGCTCTGCAGTACCTGGAATCCGTGGATCAGGGGGGCGTGGCCTGGAGGGCAGGGCTAAGGACCGGAGACTTCCTGATAGAGGTGAGAGGTCGCTGATCCTCCAGTAGAATTTAAACTGTTCATCAGATTGACCTCTGACCTCTGCTGTGTGAAGGTGAACGGCAGCGACGTGGTGAAGGTGGGTCACCGCCAGGTGGTCTCTCTGATCCGACAGGGAGGAAGTCGCCTGCTGATGAAGGTCGTCTCGGTTTCCAGGAAGTCAGAAACCAACCTGATCAGGAAGAAAGGTGCAGCTGATGATGCGTCGCTTTTCACCAACATTCATTTGTTCTGTAAAATGTCTATAAATTCAGGTGGTTTTATGCTGCAGAAACAGATTAAAGCTGTAATTCCTGAAGTTAAGCTCAGAGTTTTGCATTTATAACCTCCTACAGTAAATTAATCTGACTGAATTTGACATCAGTCTTAAAGGTACAGTTCAGATTTTAAAGATGAAGCCAACATGATTTATCCAACAATTAAACTTTTCACTTTTCCACGACTTCATTTGTTGCTGCTTTCTGAACCAACAATAAATATCTGTGTATTTTTAAATCTCTCACAACCAGCAAATCAGAATAATTAACAGAAACTACAAAATAAAACAGATTTAAGAAAACTGCTTCAGTTCAGCAGCCTGGGATATTTCAGAGTTTTAATGTAGAAAATGCAAATGAAAGGAATACTCTGATTGGCTGGTGGTGTGGTTCGTTTGCAAGCGCACTGCAAAAACTCAAAATCTTACCAAGTTTTTTTTTTTTTTTTTTTTTTTTTTTTTTTTTTTCTTTTAAAAAAAAAAAAAATTTTTTTCCAAAAAAAGGGGTTTTTTAAAGAAAAATTAAATTT